CAACAAATATAACTGAAAAAGGACTTGTAATTAGATTATATAAATAAGTTCCACAATCATATGAAAAAGATAACCCAACAAACCTGAAGGGAAATGTCATATAAGAGGATAGCTAGATGACCAATATACGTATATAAAAGTGCTAACCTTCCTTAATTTCTAGTTAAATGTAAACTAAAATGACCAATACATACCCATATGAATTAAAATGAAAAATATAGACAATACCAAGCACAGGCAAAGATATAGGGCAACCAGCAGCCTCTTACTGCTACTGGTGGGAGTGTTCATTGCAGCAACCATTTGGAAAACTGTTTGGCAATATTTTTTTAAAGCTGAACATATGCCTACTAAATGGTCCCATAATTCACCTTCTAAACATGTACTGAGCAGAAATGACTACATATTTTTCACCAAAAGGCATGCACAAAAGTTCATGGGAGTACTGTTCCTAAATAGCCAAATATCCATCAACATCTGTGAATAAACAAATGGTGGCATATTTATACAATGCAATACTGTACAGCAATGAAAATACAGGACAACTCCAAATAATAACACAAATAAAACACGCAAACGTAATGTGGGGCAAAAGACGCCAGATGCAGAGTCCAAATTTTGTGATTTTATCTAATTTTATAACCAGGCAGTTATAATCAATGACATTGGGATAGAGAGGTCAGCCTGTGATGGCAGAGGAAGTGGACAGTAACTGGCAGACAGCACAAGGGGGATTTCTAAGAAACTGGTAACGTTCTGTTTCTTGATCTAGAAACTTGATATTGTTCAGGTTGTGAAAATTGCTGTGCTGTAAACCTAAAATGTGTATACTTTGTGAATGTATGTTTTAGTTTAATAAAAGTTTACTTTAAAAAATATTTAGATATGTGATAATTGAATGATGCCCCCCCAAAGGTGTTCCTATCGTACTACACAGAGCATGTAAATATATTAACGCACATTATATAATAAAAGGACTTTGCAGGCATGATGAAGGATCTGAGTCGAGATTATCTAGGATTTTCAAGCCAGGCTCCAGGCAACCACATGGGTCTTTCTAAGAGGAAAGCATACGGCTTTCTGTCTACAGAAAGGAGTGGCACAGTGACATAACACAAGAAAGACTCGACCCACCATTCCTGGCTCTGAAGATGGAAGAAAGGGCCGTGAGCCAAGGAAGGAAGGCAGCCTCTAGAAGCTGAAAAGGGCAAGAAAATAGATTCTTCCCTGAAGCTTCCAGAAGAAATGTAGCCCATTCAACACCTTGACTTTATATCTGACCTCTAGAACTGTACAAGAAAAGATTCATATTATTTAAAAATACTCTTTCTGGTAATTTGTTACAGCAGCAAAAGTTAAATAATATATGATACATTCAAATATTTAAAGGTAAAGAAACAAAACCTTACAGAAAATAAGAATAAGACAAAAAATAGTTATAAGAAATCACTGTCTGAAAATTACAGCAGTTTGAAAATACAAAAGAGCTACCACAGGAACTGGTAGATTTTCTATGCCTATTGAAGTTGAGACTAGGTGTCAACCGTGAAGTTGTTGAGAAGTTTGACTGGAATGCACCAGAGGACTGTGGAAGTCCATACCAGTTCAAAGATTTTGTAAGCTAAAAGGTAAAATGCAAAGTAATAATAATAACTTTTAAACTACTTAGAATGTATTATATCAGTGAGATTCAGCCAATATATATTGTGCACATACCAATGTCTCAGTTACTATATTACACATTTTATACAGAAAGAGATATATATTA